CTGGCGGCCGGAAGGGTACTCCAGATCTCGTAGTAAAAGGAGGAGGAGGAGGAAGAGGAAAATGATGATGATGCTGATGATGATGAGGAGGAGGAGGAGGAGGAAAAGCAACAACATCTGCGGCAGCGGCAGCGGCAGCAGCAGGAAGACTACTGCAGATTTCGTAATAAAAGGGAGGGGGTCTGGACCCTCCAAGACAAGCCATTTCAGACCCCCCCCCCCGTGGGAGAACCCTCCCAGACATCGTCCCCAGACCCCCCCAGGCCCTCCAAGGCAGCCTGGAAGAGACCCCCCCCCGAAGTGAGACCCCCCTCCCGTCATTACGAAACCTGGAGTACCCAAACACCCAGCGTCTTGACCAGAGCAGAACGGAACTGTTTGGCCGTCTTCGGCTTCCTGTGGGCCCCCGCTGGGCACGGGGACCGCCAAAATAACGACTCGGGATGAAACGCTGGCCCCGGGGGAAAGGGTCGGGGTTTCGGGGGGCACCGCAATGCAAAAGCAAAACATGGGATGGTTGGGGAAGGACGGGCGAGGGAGGCTCGACGATCGAGGATCTATGGTGGAGACGCCGAGGGGCGCTGCTGCCCATTCTTCGGGCGCGAGGGAGTTTCTGGGAGCCTCTGGAAGCTCCCTGGGCGGCGGCCTTCGGCGGTGAGGACCGACGGTAGTCTTCCTGCTGCTGCCGCTGCCGCTGCCGCAGACGTTGTTGCTTTTCCTCCTCCTCCTTCTCCTCCTCCTCCTCCTTCTCATCATCATCAGAATCATCATCATCCTCATTTTCCTCTTCCTCCTCCTCCTCCTCCTCCTCCCTCCTCCTCCTCCTCCTCCTTCTCCTCCTCCTCCTCCTCCTCCTCCTCCTCCTCCTACTCCTCTTCCTCCTCCTCCTCCTCCTCCTCCTCCTCCTCCTCCTCCTCCTCCCCCTCCTCCCGTAGCCATTTGGGCTCAAGAACTTGTTTGCCCGTGGCGGAGCACGGATACCGCTAGTCCGCGGCCAGTTTTTCGTTCTTACCGTGAGGTCCTGTGGAAGCAACCATCCTGACAACACCAGGGAGACACTTCACTCGAATCGCTCGAGTACATGGCACCGAGGCACGTTCCTTGGAAGGCGCCGACAGGTCCGACCTGGAAGTGCACAGCCTGCGGATGCGCCAAGAACCACTCGACCTGGTACTGGTGCAAACACTGCTACCAATCCAGGAACGACCAGCCCAAGGACAAGTCGCCCTTCCGCCTCCAAAAGCACTGGGCCAGTCGTGAGGGCCGCGCTCTTCTTGGCGGTGGCAGTGAACCTGATGATGGTGATGTGCTCGGGGTCAGCAAGCTGGGGCTCGCCGAAGTCAACAGTCTGCTGGCCATCGCCACCAAAGTGGGCAACACCAGCCTGGAGACCCGCTGGAAGGCCAGGGTTGAGACCCTCACCAAGCAGGCCATCCAGCCAGCCCAGAAGCCATTGGAAGCGCAGCTCTCCAACATCACTCACGCTCGAGACCGCCACGCCCAGAAGCTCAAGGCCGCACTCGACAAGCGCGACACTTGGGAGAAGGCTATGGAAGAGCAGCGCGAGTGGATCGCCGCGCTCAAAAAAGAACTCGAGGAGCTCAATGCCCAGCACGACAATGTCCTCGCCCAGCTCCACAAGCCAAAGCAGAAGACCGAAGAGCCCGTCCTGGCCCTGGGTGCCCTCCTCGACGGCACCTGCAACACTATTAAGGTGGACATGGGCTCGGCTATCGACTTGGAGGATTGCGAGGTGGCCAAAGAGGACAAGGAGGAGATCATCAAGAGGCAGCGAGCACTCGAGGAGCAGATTACCAACATGGCGAGAGAGGTCGTCCAGAAGGCCGCAGAGACAGCGCAGGCAGTCAAGAAGCAGCACCAGGAGCATGCTGCCCGCATGGTCAGGAAGCGCAGGGGCGGCAACAGAAAGACTGGGCCCCCAGCCGCACCCACCCCGGCCAGAACCTGGAGAAGGTGATGCGGACACCTCGACTGCCCCAAGCTCTACCGCAAGTACACCTGGAGCTGACGCACAGCAGGCCAAGGCTTAAGTCGGGCCTGTCCCCCCACAGGGGGATTTCCGACGAAAGATAAAAAAGACCCAGAAAATAATCAAAAACTAATCCAAAAATAGTCTGGGCACTATTTTTTGAGTATTTTGTGGCCTTGGGGGGGGGGGGGGGGGTATTCTTTACTTTTCGTCGAAAAAGGAGGAGGGAGGAGGAGGAGGGAGGAGGAGGAGGGAGGAGCAGGGAGGAGCAGGGAGGAGGAGGGAGGAGGAGGGAGGAGGAGGGAGACGGAGGAGTGAGGAGGAGGGAGGAGGGAGGAGGAGGGAGGAGCAGGCAGGAGCACGGAGACGGAGGAGGTGCAGCGACGGCGCGGCGCTTGGGCGTCCTGGGAATGCCGGGGAGGCCGCCGCCCGGTCGCAGGCACGCGGACGCCGGAGTCCGGCTCGGGGATGGACAGACCTCCCTTTAGCAAAACGCGGTCTAGTGGAAACGACCCGAGGCCCAAACCCGGCGGGCGCAAGCCTGGATCCGGATTTTTGGATTCCCAGGCTCCAGTCTACTTCAGGCGCCCTCCTGCTTCCATGATCGAGTGGCTTCACCTTTTTCCGTCCTCCCTCGGGGGCGGACAGAACCCGAGCTATGTTCAACGCCTTCCTGCTTCATGCTCCTACCTACTTCAGCCACTCGCAGAGGGGGGTGGGGGGAGGTGGAGGGCTTCTTAGAAACACCCCTGCTCCTTAGAAGGCGCGGCGCCCCCTCTCGAGAACAAAAAACGGCCAATGCACGAATCAGCGTGTCGCTGCTGGGGGCTCTGTCCACCCCCGACCGAATTGGCCGAGTCAACCCTGGGCCCAGGAGCAAGGACCACCCTCCGAACATGTGGCAGCGCCGACGTGTGCTTGCCCACCGAAGCCTCTCGACACGACGCAGGCGGCTCAGCGAAGGCCGACACGAGCTGCGCGCTGTCGGTGGGGCCGAACAAGATGGGGGGCCACATGCGAACCCCACCCCTACCCCCCACGATTTCTGGGGGTTCTGTCCACCCCCGACTGGCACGGGAGCCCACGGGCGCGATCCTCCCGGGGGAGGCGCCCCAGAGGCAGGGCCTGCCACGCGGGTGCCCCAGGGCGAGCCTCCCCCATCGGTCGAGGACCAGAGGGCGCGGAGGCACTGACAAAAGGGTCGGGCTGCACTCTCAAGGGGCCCTGGGACACACAAATCAAAACACACGAATAACAGGATGCCCCCTATTTCCCCATATGTTCTGGGTTTTCGTCCTCCCCCCCACTTCCCATATTTGCCCATGTTTTCCTGGGGATCGACGATGAATTGTGTCTGTGTGTTCTGTTCCCCTCCTGAAGTCAGGCTGCACAGAGCCAACTGCACGAGTTGGAGAAGCCCGCCAGCGAGCTCGCTGACAATCTCTGTGGAGGACCTGTCTGGGCACTTACGGGGCAGGAGCACCAGCCGGCCAACATCTGGATTCCAGAAATCGCCACGGCAGCCAAGAAGCGAGGCGTCACACTCGCCATGACCAACTCAGCGCCAGGCCCTCAAGGAGGCCCGAGCGCATGAGTTTTCATCGCAGTACCTTCGTCAGTCGGGCTCGCACCACTGGAAGGAGATCGAGGGCATGATCATTCTCCACCAGGCTCCCCAGGGCGACTGTGCGAGGCATGCCCCCCCATCGGAGGGCGAGGTGATGTCATGCTCCATCAGTGTCTACATGTGGGTCTCGGAGGGCCTCGCCATCAGGAAGCTCAGCCTCCTCGACGGGATAGGGGAGATCACGGCCCGCTGAATCCCGCAGGGCACTCCAGGGGGCTCCAACATGCCGCCGAAGGACCCGGCAAGCAGCAACTGGATCGAGGACGTCGGCGGCGCACTCCGGGCCACGGGGCCGCCCGCCTGCCAGCACGCCGCAGGGCAGCGCGAGCTGGACTACTTCGCCGTGGACCTGCGCATCGCCACTGCCTTCGAGCCGCCGTAGCTCTACACCGAGATCAGCGCACCTGCGCACACAGCCCTGGCCCTCGGGCTGAAGGCCTCCACCGAGGAAGCCACGGTGCGGGTCCTGAAGAAGTCCAAGCCGGTTCCTGTCAAGCCGCCAGCTGGTGAGGACAGGCCACCTAACATCATCGCCAAGGTGCCCTGGCCGACGCTCGACCCGAGCCACCGCCTACACCCAGAGGACCTCGACAGGATCTGGCCCGAGCAGAACGCCAGCCTCGAGGCCGAGCTCTGCCACCTGCACCAGACCCCCGCGGCAAGCAGCATCAATGCCAGGGGAGAAGCGGCCCGCCCGTCTTCGCCACAGCACCGGCTGCAGGACCAGAAGCGCGCGCGCCAGACCGCGAGGAGGCCCCACCTCTGAGGCCTGGAGATGGCATGCCAAGCTTCTCGGGGGGGCGTGGCCCTGCCGCACAGGAGTGCCAACAAGAAGGGAGGCAGCCATGCCGCCCGGGACCCCCATCTCCGCGGGCTCGTCCAGCAAGCAGAGGATGGACTCCGGCAGCAGAAGCGCACCCCCGACTCCAGCATGTGTCAGCACGTGCTCAGTGTAGCCCTGAAGCACAACATCGCAGTGGACATGGAGCTGCTTATGAGATCGGGGCCATCTACCACTTCGCCATGGGGGAAGCCCACCCGATCGAGCAGAGGATCAGTTCGGAGAGGACCAAGGACTGGAAGCAGAGGCCCAAGCTCTCCTCCAAAGGCTCCGCGGGCTTCATTCACAGGATCAGCAAGTGGGCCAAAGCGCCGCCCACCCCGCACGCTACTACCTCGCCGATCCAGCAGGGCATCAGCAACCTCGACCTTGCCAACCCGCAGACCAGGGCGAAGCAGCACGCAGCCCCCCGGCATCGGCTCTAGAAGTCGCAAGCTGACATCCGCCGAGGAAAGCGAGACAGACCTTGGTAGAATCAAGTTCACCAAGCCCCTATGATGGAGGCTACCCCGAGCCTGCTGCGCCGTGTTTGCAGGACCTTC